GTAAGAATGGAACACTTGACTAGATACTCCAGGCAAAATTGTTTTGATTTTATTACATTCTTTAGGTCGTCTAAAGTAGTATTTTTTGTTTTTTGTTTTTTTAAGGAATTTGTTTAGAAAAACATTTAAAAATAGCTGGTGGTTCTGGAGTTTATAGTATGAACATTATTAGATGTGCAAAAATTAATTAAGGGAAACTTCACTGAAACCCTGCTGGGAGGCCTGCAGGGAAAGATCTCATGCCTGCAACTACCAGTTGTAAATATCAGGCACCCCACTACAAGAGACAGACAAGATAGGATTTTAGCTACTTTACACCCAGAAGAAAGAAGAAAGGTTTCTGCCTTGCACCTCCCCATAATGGCGCAGCTAATGAGAAACTGGCACAACTCAAGCCTATAAGAAGCCACGATACATGATAGGTGGGACTCGTTTACCTCCAATGGAGTTTCTGCTTAGAACAGCCCTCCCAACTCAGCCCTTTCCTCTATAAAAGATTGTTCCTCTCCTTTGCTCTCAAGACATACCTATGGTTTACTATAGCTTGCGTGTCCCAGATCGCAACTCTGTGCTATTACTGAAAAAACTCATTTTTACTGGTAAAATCACTGACTGTTTCACTTTTAAGGTTAACAGATGCTATAAAGTAACGATGACACACTTAAATTACTTAATACGGAATCAAAACTAACTGGCACCCAATTCAGTACACAAAATAAGTCACAAAGTGTGACTAAGTCTTACTAAAAATTTACAGTTTCACCGAAATTTCTTTAGGTATGTATAGTGAGCTGTTGTCCATAGCAAACTATTAATTCGTTCATGCTCTCCTATTTCACTAAATCTATCAAAAACAAAAGGAAACCTCTCTCTCCTTTGGGCGTCTTGTTGAAATTTCTGCCTCCTGCAAACCTCCCCTCAAGCTTACCACTGCTGCACCCAGCGATTTTGTTTCCCATATCTCTGTTCAGATGTTTTCACCTTGATGGTCATTCTGCTTCATTTCACCCTAACAGGCATTCATGATCATGGCCTTGTTCTCTCTGAGCTTCCATCTTTTTTCTTTACTGTGCCTTTTGCCATTCAGGGACACAGTGGATAATTCCCAGCATGTTTGCTGTTTTAGAAGGAGACACCTGCGGGATGATGCCGGCACTGATACGGTGTGGCCAGTGAATGGATTCTTAACTTCCATTTCCTTAGCTGTAGTGTGGACCTTTTAAACACTTTTACCTTTCTGCTTTACTGTATGGAAAACCTCAAAGAATAATTATCCACAAAAAAATGAGGACATATTTAACAAATCATCAAACTGAACACCTCCAGAGAAGCCCTCACTAAAGTGAGTTCATTTCAGTCACAGGGAAAGAAATCATTTGTAAACAATAGAAGACTGTATCTTATTTCAAATACTAAAATGTATTTCTGTATGGCCAATCAACAAAAGTGAACTACTGTGAAAATCTTGCACACCCCATGTTTTCTGATTTTTTAAAAAGTTCAGGCGAGGTTCAGAGATAAGTGTGTCTCAAGTGGGCCTAAAGGTAAATAATATATTTTAACTAACAAATGGGCCATGATACATATTTACAGGAAGCCTGGAAATTTTTACATTAAAAAAAATAAATATTGATCGTGCTCATGTTACATATCTATGGAATCTCTGGAGGTTTAATCTCTCTATGGAATCTCCCATGAGGTCTAATTCTCAAACAATGTGACCATATTCCTAAAATTGAGATCTTACAATAAGTATGTCTCAGAGTAGTTGTAAGCTACATTTCGCTTCAAGAAGTTGGGCTCTTTAAATATAGGTGAGTAATTTACCTGTCACATAGCTCAGGCAGAGAGGGGAAGAATAGGAGCTAATGTCACCAGCAAGTAGCCACTTCTTCACTACAGATAGGGCTCTTCCTTTTTCACTCCCCAGCCTTCGATTTCAGTAGCCTTCGCAAGGTGGAACTGGCTTCCAGGAATTTTAGTTCCACATCCATTCATTCAGATTTAAGATGGATTAAGTTTTCTAACAGTTTCTCCTTTTGTTTAGTAAAATATTAGCTATTATTTATTAGGTGCTTAGTTAAGGCCAAAAAGTATTCAAGCATTTCAACTACATAATTGTATTGAATTTGAATCCACAATAACAACCCTTTGAAGTAAGTGCAATTCTGTTTTATAGATACAGTAACTGAGATTTAGAACGGTTACGTCACTTTCCCATAATAGAAGGTCAAAACAACTGGAATTGTATCATCTGGCCGATTTCAAATGCAATATCCTCACCCACTAAACTGTGTTAAATAATCTGGTAGTCAGGAACCAGCATTATCTTTAAATTCAAGACACTCAGGTTGAAATCCCAGGTATCAGTGGTGTAAATTTAACAACTCCCTTTATCATTTCCTCAGCATATATTTCTCCAGTTGTAAAGTGAGGTGAATCATGACTTTCCTCTTTAACTCACAGCAATAAGGTGAAAATGATTTTTTAAATAGAAATAATTCATAAATTATAAAGGTCCATGCAGATAAACAACATTCTAAAATTTGTATTTACTCACGTTAGATACCTGTAAATGTCTGTTGAATTTAAATTTGATAGATTCTGTGGAGTAGGCACAGTGACCATCAAGCCCATTTGAGGTTATTATAGTAAGCTTGGTTTCTATGGTGAAAACTTAGGTGAATTAAATGATTTCATGGCTGATGATCTGATATATGAGCTATGGCTTGATGACTTTCTCGGTCAAGACTCCCTCTACCCTCGTTTGGTGGCAAGTAACAAAACTCACTGGAATGTACTAGAGGAACACTGCATTCCTTCAGGTACCTACGGACAGAGGTACAGCTGGACCCTGCGAAGGCTGGAGGACCCTGAGGCTAAAAGCCATCAAAAACTTTGACTCTCTTCTCTGATTCTGGATTGCAGCTGCATAACTTATTTATTCTTCTGTGTCGCTGAGGACTGGTTATTTCTGCTTCTCCTTAACACGCATGGTTCCAAAATGGAAGTGTCAATGAGGTTTAATATCAATATCTTCTCAAGGTCAAGTTTATAATAAAGCATAACCAGCAGTTTTGGATCCCAAGCCCAAATGCTCTGGGGAGAGAACCTGACTGGCCCAGCCTGAGTCAATATCTACTCCTATTACAGGATTTCTCAACCTTTAGTGCTTTTAACATTGTGTGCTGAGTAATTATTCTTTGTTTGGGTATGGACAGGGTGAGGCTCTCCTGGGTGTTTCAGGATGTTGCACAACATCCCTGGCCTCTGCTTACTAGATGCCAGTAGGTGCTCCCCCATCTTCACCCCCACCGAATGCTGTGACAGCTAAAACAGTCCAGACATTGTCATATATCACCTGGGGCAAAATCACCCCTGGTTGAGAAGCACTGCCCTGAGGCTCAGCGTAGAGCACCGCAGAGAACAAGCTCGGTGGCTTAGCACTCTAGGCGGGGAAAATTGCTCCTCAGGGACACGCAGGTGTCTGCTTGGCAGTTGTCCCCAGATTTGTCTAAGAATAGAGATATTGGTGGAAATGATGACTTTTTGACAATTTCTGTAGATTTTTGCTATCATAATTGAATCTCTTGAAATAAGTTAGAAGTTTCAGAATTTTGAGCATTGTATGAATTGAAGGAAAACTTAATTTTCAAAATTGTTGAAACCCATATATGTAGTTTTCCCATTCTGTCCTGATACAGTGACTTCCAAGATTCCAGCTCATATAGTCCTATCAGCTAGAGAATGATCATACCTCATTTATATAGAGAGGAAGGAAGGAAGGGAGGGAGGATTATTTAACTGTATATTTTGTATTCTATAAAATTTTGCATTTTGTATTTCATAAAATGAAAATAATTTTATTTGATTTCATTTATTAATAGTATTATTACAAGTACTATATGGGACTTCTAGTCCAGAAAAGATAGCATATACCAATTTCTCCCTCTCCTTCCCCACTAGGAGCAGCTATACCGTGGAAACAATGCTAAGGAAACAACGCAAAGGAGAACTTTGAAAGGTGTTGAGAAAGGCAAACTGGTTTGGGATCCAGCACTGGAGGAACAACACAGCTGTAGGCAGGCATCTGAGGTCCTCCTACCCAACAGATGAAAGGAACCCAAACCTGCAATTCCTAAATGTAAGCTAGCAACAGAAAGTAGCCCAGGTAGGCTCATTCATTCCCCAAAAGTGATGTAAGAACTTCAGCAACACTAGGCAAGCCTGGTGGGCTGGAGGAAGAAAAGTCTTCACCATTTATATAGCCATTTTTATTTTTATTTTTTATTTTTTTACTATTTTGTTATTCCTTTTTTAAAGAAACCATTAATCCTTCAAATTAGTAAAAGTTCACTGCTGATTTTAATAAAGGTTCATATGTTTTAAGAATGCTGAAAAAAATTGGGTGTTTCATCTTTATATTCAGAAAACTTTGAATTTAAATGTCTTAGAAATGATGATAGCTCATAGTTCAACAACTAACAGAAGGGACAATACACACCAAGGGTAAATAAGACACACTGTTATTTCATAGTGAATTTGTATCCACACTTCACATAGTTTATATCTCTGTGCTTAGAGCAGAGTGTGTACACAGTGCTCTTGACGTTCTTTTTTCCTTTTTCTAATTAATGAATGGTGATGTAACTGTTTAGGAAAAGTATTAAGATAGTGAACCTGCAGTTGAGTTATTATCATCATGTACACACGTGGATTTCCTACTTCCTCTGATGTACAGACTCTGAAGTTAATATCACCGCATCTGTGTTGTTGATATTGTTAACCTAGAAACCACAAAGAAATACAGGAGCAATAATATATTTTGTTTCATTTGAAAGTAATGAAATTGGACAGTTTACTTGAATAGAAGCAAATCTGTCACGAGGAGGCAAATATTCATTTTCATGTTTCTGATGACTGAAATGTGAAAAGCATCAATTATTAAAATCCATTGACCATTTCAAGGCTATGCTTTTTTCTCACTGTTGAACACTTACAGGTCTGGCAGTGATTTTCTGTGGGTCCCCAGCATCGGCCAGTACAGGACTTATGACAACGTCCACCTACAGAACAGGAAAAAGCACATGCACATTATAATCTTTCACTCTGACTAGGAGAAACTCCTCTACGGAAATATTCTTGCTCCTTTATGAGGATTTTTATGTCATACTAGAGTTGAAACATAGCTCATAAAATGCCCACTTAAGTAGCAAAACCTGAATGTCAAATATATATGAAGCTGAAATACAACCTCCTAGTATTCAAAACCCTCTCGACATTTTATAAGAAAAAGAAATTATTTTTAAAATTTTCCCAGAGAGTCCAAAGTAAATATTTACGTGACATAAACTTCGCTTTGACTACTGAACACTTTTATTCTGCTGATCTTCTCTACTTGATATAATTTCAACAGTTCAATGCTGATACCAACAGATATTAATGATTAAATCATAATTTAAAAAAAGGAGTCGAAGTCTACGAAAACAAGAATATATTCTTACAAACATATCATAGACGATTAGAATAAGAGATTACATACATATTTTAGATTACCTCTTGGGAGGGGAGGTTGTGGGGAGGAATGTGGCTGTAGGATGACCCACAAGCTAGACCTGGGCAATGAGAGGCTCCTCCCTCCCTCCCCAGTCCTTCAGAAGTATGTCCTGCTTACTATTCCCATACAAGCAGCTGTTTCAAGGACATAACCTTGAGAGAGTAAGGCACTGTTGAGACCATCTGGAGTGAATATATGACTGAACCCAGATATGGCTTTCATATAAACTTTTAAGATTCTGGCAGGTACGTGTGATCGACTTGTTTTGAGGCCACCCTGGACAAGTCTCATGTGTAAATTACTTTGCTTATTAAAAGGGTCTCCTACCAATCTGGGGTTGTCTGCACCTTTCTTCATACTGTCCTTGCCCTCTATATGTGACAGCCAATTTGAAAACCAACTTCTTTGTATAAAAATTTCATGTATTTAAAACAGCTCAGTTTTTTAGAAAACATAATGTCAATGATTTGATAACCTCTTTTAACATTTGTATTAATACTACCTTCATTTTCGAATATCAGCCTTGATCTCCTGTAATGACGTCTTACTCTGAAGGACTGAGCTACTATGGGTATTGTCTTCAGCAAATACAGTTGTCCACAGAGAAACTCCCTTAAGGACTCAGCAAAAGAACACTGCCTAGAAGAAATCATTATAATGGCTTTCTTTGAAGTTTGCTTCTAAATTTCACTCTAAATGTTTGTGGGTGGAGGGATGTGGAATGGACTTATTTTTAGAATGAAAAGTACATATGAAAACCTATTACAAACTAAAGCTTTCCTATAGGATATAGTTTTTATTAGACCTTCTGTTATTTTTCTAATTCAATTGTGAATAGGTACATAGACCTATTCAAGATGTTTATTTTAACATAGCTATATAGCAAAACCTATGGAATAGGGTTATAGCAAATGTTTTCATCTTTCCTTGCTTCACAGTTTTTAACTCTTCAACTTGGAAGTTCTTATACCTTGGACATCTTTTTCTTTCTCTCTTTATGGGACTGCTTGAGGGAACTCAGTATGTTAAATGTTTCCACAGCTAAGGAACCTACTCAACAGGCATCATATCTTCTCAGGCTGAACCTCAGATCATCCTGATGGTCTGCCCTTCTGCAAGTGTACATACAGTACTATTCCCAAGTGAATATGACACTTAGGCTGAATTCCAGTCACCTTGTTAAAAATATCAGGATTCTTGCCACAATAGAGTTTATTGAAAGCAGTTCTGTTTGTGAAGCATTGCTGCTGACATCACCAGCATATAATATCCTGTCACTCTGCCATCTGTTTATTTAGACCCAAACACATTATAACTACATAATGCAAGCTCATTCTAGCTGACAGGAAAAGGACTCCATCTGGCCTGAACAATATAACTTTAATCAGTGATAATGATAATTATTATTAAAAACCTACTGGAGTTCTTTTGTATAATGCTAATAAATCTAAATTGATTTATACCAGCGGAAATTAGAAAAGACTGTGAGACTAAATGGGAAGCAGTGAAAACTTTTTCTGAGTATAAACTTTCTTTTGAGAAAGTAGTTGTTAACATGCTTGTTTAGATATGTTAAAACCCTTTCAGTTGATACGTTCAGTGGTTTGTTAATTGAAGATATCTGAAGCAGAGGATAACCCACCTCTGCTTCTATTCAGTTCTTTATGGAAGAACTGAATGTGCTTCCATAAATGGTTGCTCATTCAGGCCTGCCCTTCATTTCACTTTCTGTAGACCTGTGAGTCTTTTGGCATCTGCCCATGTGTTCAGCTCACCTTTGTCTTCAAACTGAGATATATGGCACCTGTGTTAACACTATTTTCACTGAGCTGTTACAGTTAAGTAAATGTCAAAATATCTGACCAAAACATTTGACTGGAGATATTTCTGAATTATTGCATTTGCCACACTTTCATGCCTGCAGTGTTAGTTTGATTCCTATAGACAATTGGATAACCCACAAGAGGCTTCCCTAATTGTATTTGGGGATTATAAAATATTTAGCTTTATTCATTGTAATCAGAGTACTATCTGTAGCTAAAAAGAAAAAACAATGTAAATAACTTTAGATATTTAATATTCTCAATGCTATCCTTTTATTGGATCATTTATTTTTTACCTTCTTATTCCTACAGTTCCAATTTATCACCCCAAGACCTACTCCCCGATCCAATATAGAAGGGAATATTACTAGAAACTTGGCTTACGATTCTTGACAAAGTATATGGCAAGGCCCACTTGGGAACGAGTGATACAGTGCCCCCTCCAACACACAAAGTTTAAGTCATTTAACCTTCCTTATCCACATGCTATTAGGAGCTTTTGTTTGGTAGTTCCCAATTTTCATTCATATTTAAACAGAAATATCTATTACTGCTGTAAGAGGAAGCCAACAACTGCTTCTCTTCTAGGATTTTACTGTCTTATATTCCCTCCAACCATTTTGGGAAACCAATGGATGTGATCATTTGGCCCACACATTTCAGAATTCTGTGACTCCAAATGTGCTAGAGGACTGTGAACTGAATGTGCTTCCATAAATGGTTGCTCATTCAGGCCTGCCCTTCATTTCACTTTCTGTAGACCTGTGAGTCTTTTGGCATCTGCCCATGTGTTCAGCTCACCTTTGTCTTCAAACTGAGATATATGGCACCTGTGTTAACACTATTTTCACTGAGCTGTTACAATTAAGTAAATGTCAAAATATCTGACCAAAACATTTGACTGGAGATATTTCTGAATTATTGCATTTGCCACACTTTCATGCCTGCAGTGTTAGTTTGATTCCTATAGACAATTGGTAGTGGGCTATTATGTTTAATATGTTGTAAAATATGTTTTTAGCTTTTTGTTCCCAACATTTCTGTTGCACAAAAGTGTCAGAAGATGAGAGGGTAGATAATGGATTTCCTTAATAATTATCTATCAAAATAGGGGGGAAAAATCTATAAACTTTTTTTCCTACCTTCCTTCCTTCCATCAATCTATCTATAAGTATTTCTTGAGTACCTTCTGCACTTAGGTATTAGGAACTATTGGAGTTAAGTGGAAACAGAAATGGTTACTTCTCTAATAGAGTTTAAAATTAATTTAGCATTACTTTGAAGGGTTTGGTTATTCTGTATCTAATTTTCACCCTTTATAAGTTTGAGGAAAGAAGCCAATAAATCTGAATTTTTAACAGTCCTCTAGCTCACGGAAGAAGAGTTGGGCAAAGCCAGGCTAAGCTGGACCATTTCCAAGGTAATGCCTGGTGGATCAGAAGTCTGCTTGCTCCTTATAAAATGATTTATCTATATGACATCTCAAATGAGATCAGCCCAGAGCATTTCAGTGGAGAGAACAAGTATGGCCTCTGAAGGGTTCCTTGTCTCTTATAGAAAGAGAAATACTTTAGCTGTGGCCCAATATCTTATGAAACGTTCTTTCCATCCTCTATTCTCAGGTATGCATTATCTCAGACCGGTGGATTTCTTGAGGAAAAGAGACTCTATATCTCACTAATATTTTAGTCTGAGTTTTATAAACTATTTCTCTAGTAGTATGTTTTTAGAATGAGGGCAGCAAAAAGAGGATCCAATCAGATACAACCTTATATAAATGAGAAAAAATATTTTGGGGTACTGATATTTGCCATCCAAATCTATTTCCATGTTTCAACCTGCTACATGATTCTTTTCATTGTTTACTGCAATAATTCTTTTAAAACTGTGTGAGAAAAATTTCCATTCAGCTTAGTAATAAGCATGGTTATTTGAATTAAGTTCTACTTCTCTCATTGTGACTAAATTATAAGGTGAAATATAAATTAAAACAAAATTTAAACAAACATTTCTGTCACTTTAACAACCATTTTAATCTTGTAAAATAAGTGCTGATTATTGCACATCAGCACTTTTTTAATTCACAGGCAATCACCTCTGCTTCGATAAGGCCTTGTTCATTGTACAAGTTAGCAAGTATCACAAGTTTATGCTTCTCTAGCAGATATTACTAAAAATGTAACTTTTGTACTCTTTTTGTTGTGAACTAGAGTCTCTGAGCCACTTTTATATTTTTAAGAGTCATAAATTCAATGCCAAAATTTTCCTTGTTTGTAGGAATGCCTGACAGCAGAGATGGGATTTAATACGTACTGGACTGTTTTCTACAAGTCATATGCCAGGATAGTTGAAGAGTTACAAAATACGAAGTCACTGGCAACCATAAAAGATTATATCCCCAAACTGCCTTTTGCAATGCAGTTATATCCTTGGATTCTTCTTTAGTCCTTTTAAAAACTATCAGTCTTGACCTCTTAAAACTATTTTACTGGGAAATGAGTGAGAGAGTAGTATCTTTTTCATGACCATGTAACTCAAAAAGGGAAGTGGAACATTTATTGAAAGTCTAAACTAAACCAGCCCCTATTCTTGAACAGAGGATACAAAGATGAGTAGGTCAGTGTCTTGCCCTCAAAGACTAGGAAATAGGTAGAAAAAATAGGCAAATAATTATGATAATCATAAT